AATCGGTTGGATGAAATATTTAGGTACAAAACATTCCGTAAATATTTGAGAAAAGCTTTCGATGACTGTGGTAATCCAGATGATATGATCGAACTTTCCATAATCCGCAATGCAATTCAAGTTAGCTTTTCAACGACTTATTGTGGTTGTTTTAAAAAAAGATTTGATTCACGTAGTCCCATCTTTTTCTGCAGTATTTTACTGTATTCATATTTTAATAAATTTAATGAGCAGGAAATTACTAAAAGCAGATGATCAGTCACTTTAGTATTTCAACTTTTTCTTTTCGAATTTGTTTAGGTTCTTTCTCACTTTAATTTCAATTTCATTTTTTTCTTTTTTTTTCTACAGAAACGTTGAATACTACTTTAAGCTTATTTATTAATGTGTATCTTGTCGTTTGGATATTTTTAGGAGCAAGCTGGACGATTACCGTTTAGTGATGGAGAATTTGAAGCAGCTTTCGAACAGCTAACAACCGAAAATATTGCAATGATTGCAGATAATCGGATTACACTCATCTAATTTTAATATATGTATTTTTTAATTACAGGAATTACTGGAAATATTAGAGTTTTTTTTTTTTTTTTTTCAATTCTGTGGAATTGATTCTAAAAATTTTCGACAGACTGAGATGGTTCTTTTAGATGATGTTTCTGTCGACTTCCAAGGTTTTATTTGGAATGATTCATTTATCGTTTCATTTCACCTTGGCAATTAAAATTAATCGCTTTTTTGCTCTTTCTTAAAGGTTTTAATTTTGTGCAAATTGTGGTGAAAAAATTGGGATTAATTTAGCTTTTGTGTAGTGTAAATTAATTAACCCTGTAGTTTTTTTTTTCTAATGACAGACTTCGTCTCAAAGCATTTTATGTTTCCTTATCATTCAAACTGGAAATTTTGGCGGAATTGAATCGTTTATAGTATCTATGAAGTGCAGCACTATATTGAATTTTATATCTGATATTTCCATTACTGTCGAGTAAAATTTAGAGCGTTGTTTGTTCGCATAAATTCCGTAGGAGAATCCTTCAGTAATTAGGTTGAAAGAGAGAGGGAGAGAATACGAGAGTAGTTTTTTCTTTTCTGTATGATAGCAAGTAATTCGAACCATAAAAATATTCAACATATCTGGAGGAGACATTAAAAAGTATTCCAGATGTTTTGGTTTTAGCTATATTATTGTTTCGAATCTTTCTTCTTATAGTTATTTCATATTTTAATGGTGCAAAAAGGATTATAAGTAAAGAATAGTTCGAGAATGACTGGAATAGATTTCCGGAGTACTCACAAGCAATTCTGAGTGGTAGTGTTTATGTGTTATGCTTTGTAGACTTTATAAATTATTCTTACCTTATTTAATTAATAGGCATTTTTTCACGGGGGAAATAATTGCAAGGAAAATGTGTAATATATGTTTTTATTTAATATAATCATTTGTCTTACATATTATTAAGTGTAAGCTGTGCGAAATGTTTTATTGTGAGAGAGTTTTAATGGTGAAAATTGAGAGTAATTTAATAATTATATTTTAAATTATATCACAGTAATGTGCCATTGATGTGGCCGTATTGTTATTGTTATTTTATTGTTGTTATTACTATTATTGCTGGTGTCGTCCAAGTAAGTAATAATAATGATAATAATGGCAACAGTAAAAACAATAATAGTGCGTCAAATGATTGGAATAACAATCACAATAAACGCGACAACAAAACAATAACAACAACAACATTAATCGATGGAGGTACTCCTCCTCCCTCTCTCTCCGACACTTTCCCCTCTCTCCCTGCTGTCTCCTCTCTCTCTCGCTCTCTCTGTGCTTTCTCGATGATGGTAAAATTAAATGAAATTGAGGAAGAGAAGTTCCTCTCTCTCTCTCATTCTTTCGGCTAGTAATTGTAGTAGTTTGTATTTGCTGGCATGATTTCTTCACTATCTCAAACAATTAATTGAAAGTCGAGGGTATGGAGAGAAAGAGAGAGGGAGGGAGGGAGGGAGGGTGAGAGAAAAAGTGGGAAGTTAGAAAGGACAGTTTCTAAAATTTTAATAGCTATATTCCCTGGCTGTCTTATAATGAGTTTCTTTTCCCACTTAATTCATAAATATACCGGTCTGATGGGGTACCGCGGGGTAAAATTTTCTCTTATAACCTTGCAATGAGGGAAATTGTTGAAAGAATGAAGAAAGAAAAGGATGGAAATTTTATGGAAAAAAAAGTTGTTGCAATGATTACTTTCTTTAGATATAAATGAGATTTTCAAATATTTTCTTTTTTCGTTTTGAAAGATATTAAATAGTAATTATTAAGGAAAGAACAATTTCGATTTCTTTCTTTTTTTTTTTTTTTTGATTTTCATAATATTTACTGATAAGTTTACAGTTTAATGAGTTAATATGGAAGAATTTATGAAAAAAAAAAAAAGTAGATGGGAAAGTTTAATTTTTAGAAAATTTTTAGTTCTTGTACATTATTAGATCTGTAAAATTTATTGACCAACATTATTTCATACTTTTATTAAACAAACATTGTATCCATTATCGTTTGTTTATTATTTGAGATATATAACTTTAGCTGTTAACTGCTAACAATTATAAATTTAATGCATTTTTAAGTGAGTTCGTTTTTCATTTCTGTCTCGAAATTATTTAGAAGTTTATTTATTTATCAATCAGTTATTGGCCGTCCAAAAAAGCTATCTAATCTGTTATCACTACTTTTTTTATTCATGCAAATTGAAAAACAAAAGTGTTATTCGAATATGTAATAAAAATTGTGAAATGTCAAGATAATTTGATGACATATAACTTTTCATCAGCCATCTACATTTATGTCTTTGTTTGTTTGTTATTTCCTAATTCCATAATAACATTAAAGCACTTTTTCTTCTTTTTTTATCTTCAACGATTAGCATTAAAAGCCTAATTTTCGATTTTTGAATAAGTTTTTATCTTATATACGCTAATCTTTATACTGTTATAATATATATTCGTCAAATAGTAATTAATGTAATTATGTGAATCGTTAAAATCATATTGATAACTACCTAAAGTTTCGGCAGGCGATTGATAGCAATCATTTAAATCTTTTTAGAAGAAAGAAGAGAAACAAAATCGATTGAAGTGAATAATAGCGTGGTAGATGGGAGAAATTTTTATAAATGATACAGTGGTTGATAATAAGTTTGTTAGTCAATTCTTTTTTATCTTTACAAAAAAATGTAATTTTGATCAAATATATCAAATGTATGTATGATTTTTACCGAGAAACATAAGAAAATGAAAGTGTAAAGTTTTTTTTTTTGTAAAAAGTTAAAATTAAAAATGACATTTATCATTTTTTTGAAGTGAAAGTGACAAGGGAGTTTGACAAATTGGATGTAATTGAAACTTAATTAGCTAATTTAGATTATTTTATTTTGACTTAAATTATTGCAAAAATTTTATTATATTTTGTATAGTTATCATTAAATTCAATTATCAGGCATATCGTTTGTTAGTAGTATTATCCATGCTTAATTCTAACAACAAGTTTGAAATGCTATAAAAAAAAATTCTTTTCTTTCCGAATTTCTGACAATATCTCTCTAAGGAATATGCATTGATTGCAAAGTTTTTATGAGCGAAAAAAGGAAAGATACATTTAAAAATTCATGAGAAATCATAAATCAAAAAAAAAAAAAAACGAGAAGAAATTTATGTTATTAAAAATGATGCATTAAATTTTTTCAGAAAATGTAGAAATTTAGAAAAATGCAAAAAAAAGTGCTTGTTTTTTTTCTTACCATGAATTTACTGTAAGAAAAATATTAATTGCGAAAATTTAGCCAATTAAGAGCAAACAAACAAAAAAAAAAAAAACTTACTGTAGTGATATTTCCAAAGTGGATTTGATTTGTCATGAGGTAATATTTTAGGAATTAAAGTAACGGAATTAAAATCTCGCATCATTTTATTTGGAATATCGAGATTTCGGCTGTTTGTTGCTGTTGTTAATGTTATTGTTGCTTTATTTATTAATAGCTATGATAATATTCCATAAAAGTATTTTAAAATGTGATAAATGTGTTTGTCAATTAATTAATTTTCTATACTTGCACTTTTCTTTACCCTTTTTGTACTTTCCTTTTTACCTTACATTCATTTTTAATTTATTGGAAAATTTGATTGCATAAAGTAATAGTAGGTTAATTTTTAATTTTTTCATTAAGAAAAAAGAGTTTAAAGAATTTTTTTCTGATCTCTTTCTTATTTAAAAAAAAAAAAAAAAAAAAATGGTACAAAAATGAAAGGAAAAAGAATACATTTTGCTTATATCCATTATTTTTTTAGTTTTATTTACTTATTTGTAAAATCAGTGTATTTTAATTTAGTATTGCACATTTACTAAACCTATTTTATTCTACTTTTTACTTATTTAATTGCTATGTTAGAACTAACTATTATGATTTATTTATTTCAGTTGAAGCCATTTCTGTTTCATTTTAGCATCACTAAATTTAATTCCTCGCTCCAGTTTACTTAGAACAGTTCCATACAACCGATTTACCTTATCATTTAAAGAAAGGTGAATGAAACATGCAATATTTTTATTTGAATAAGATTTTTGGCTGCAAAAATTCGGAAATTAAATTTTAGGAATGAAATAACTATATTTGAGATAAAATGAATTGATTAAATGCTTCATCATATTTTAAGTTTTATTTAATCTTTTCATCGATATGGCTGGTTAAAGTTGAAAGAAAGGAATATATCAGTAATAAACATATTAACTGTCTGATATTTCATTAGCTTAATTCATTATAAATTCATTAATTAATTAATTTTAATTATGCTTAATATTCACTATAAAAACAATGACAAACGTATTATTACATTCAATAACGATAATAATGTACTTGAAATTTTAAATGCTAGGAAAAAGAGAAAAAAGAAAAGAAAAAATTTCAGAATAACTATTGAAGTTTGAGATTTGAAGGGCTAATTGTATATCTAATGAAATGGATTTGATAGATGATGATACTTTAAACGGTCAATCTACATCAGTATGCTCATCATCATTACTGATAACAAGTGATAATTCATCAAAGATTGACAAGAATGATTCGACTGACAAGGTATGCATTATTATTTTTATTCCAGTAATGATTTGTTTGCTAATATTACATAAATTCGATTAAGATTTATACTTATCTATGCATAATGCTAAAATATATTTTTCCATTCTGTTATCAGAATTATCTCAGTTGAAATTATTCCTATTTCAACTGTGGGGATGATGCCAGTGTCAACTATCAGGCATGATTCAAATTTCAAATATTAGAATCATCCGGTGATATCTTATTTTTGAGTGATAGTACTGGTAATATTATTTTGAGTGATAATACCAAATAATTGTGTGTGATCGGAATATTAACTGTTCATATCAGTTCTTTATTTATTGATACGGTTTTATTATTAACTAAAAATATTATCACTGAAACTTTCTTTCAGGATGGTAATAATATAGATGTGATGAAATTACAAAAAAAAAAAAAAAAAGGAATAAATAATTTTAATAAATCATATAATGAATAATTTATTATAATTAGTAATTTATATAATAATTATATGAAAACTTGCTTTTTTAAAGAAGTATCGTTTGTAAATATAAGTTGTATATTTTAACATTCTATTATATAGTGAGAAATTTTGAGATCACTTATAAATTAATCACTGAGAAAATTCTTTAGTAAATTAAAAATTTAAATAATTTTGAAACAAAATGATTGAAAATTTTTGTAAACAGAAGTTATAATAATATATTCTGATTTTTTTTTTCCTTTTTAAAGGATATATGTATGGAATTAAGATGGGATTTGTTACATTTAAATGAGCAGTCGTATCTGGAATACAATGAACCGGATTGTGGTGATGAAGTTATGTTGGGTAATATGCCGGATTTAGTGATGCAATGTATTTTTGAATCATTCAGTCTTCGTGATCGTTGTATGGCATCTCAGGTAAAATAAAAATTGTCATATTGTTGTATGGCTTATTGATTGATTGGTTGATTGATCAGGAATTTAGCTGAAGAAAATGAAATGAACCGATTGGTTTAGTAATAGAAATAAAACACTATTTATCATTTTCATTTTTAATTAGAAATGAGAACTTTTTTGATTAAAAAAAAAAGGTTTTTTAAACTTAATTTAATCTGATGAATAAAATTTTAGACATTTTTATTTATATCTATATTTTTATTTATATCTTTTATTTTCAAAAAAGCCATCATATTTATCATTTCTTTGGTAGTATTAAAATCTTAGCAAAAAATTAAATTGATTAGTGTAAACTTGAGAACTGTTTCAAAACTTTGTTGAGGAAACTAAATTGATACTTGAAACTAAACAATGAAAATAAATTAATTCTATGAATTTCTAATGAAATTATCTTTTCTTTCAAACAATTACAGAAATACTTTGATTTAATCACAATAGTTATAAATTATTTGATTGATTACAGATTTAAAATATTTTCAACTGTTTCAATTTAACGTCAAATTTTTTTCTTTTTTTTTTTTTTTTTTTTTTTTTGTAGCTTTAATTTTTCAAGTATTTTAACTTAATTTGACATTTTTTTGAAAGTATGCTTAAATCAATTCTAGGTATGCAAACGATGGCACTATCTTCTGACCTGTAGATTTCCAATGGAAGATGTAACAGTACTTAATATTTTCCAACATCAAATATACAAAGATAAAATTAGTAATAATAAAAATATTGGGTAATTATTTCTAATCTTATTTAATTAATGATACGATTGGTACAAAGGGATGACGTTTGTAACTTTTTTTTTTCAGCATTTTAGCATATTTGAGTTAAAATCGATTGCATTAATTTTTGTAATTTTGGAGAATATTAAATTTTCAATTGTTCGTTACTTACTTATTGTTTTACTTTTTAAGTTAAGTAATGGATTTTGTTACATTAAAATTGTGAATTCTGCACGAATTATAAGATAGGCTGATAAATGCAATCAGAAATCATTCGAATATTCGATTCAAGTAATAAATGATAAATAAATTATTAATTATTAAATTAGCTTAAAAATTTTTGAACAAAGCTATTATGTCTATTGTTAACTTTTCTAACTTTTGCAGATTGAAATGTTATCATATTGATAACGATAGCTATTTGCTAATTGCTTTAAAGCATTGTCGAATAATAAGTAGCGTTAAAATATGGTTTGCTGATGCTACTTTTGCTGGCAAAGTATTGAGTAAATTTTTATCACTTATCTTGCAATTTATTAATTACATTTTCATTCTTTCGTTTCTTGCGCTAACTGCCAATTAGTACAGTTAGTTAATTAGCACTAATTAGTACTATAATTATGTGTACATATTCTTCTACGTTTATACAAATGCATTTTACTTTTTTCAGTATCAGTTATTAATTCTCTTTTTCATTTGTATTATTATTTTGAATTTTAAAGAAAACTTTAAATTATTAATAATTTTATGGAATCAGTTAAGATAAATTTACCAAAATAATTTGGGATTTATATTTAATTATGTATTATATCTAACTTATCATAATATATTTGATTGATTGGAAATTTTTTAATCATAAAATTCTTTCATTTCTCACTGTTTTCTATCTTTGAAACACTTTTTTTTTAATGTTCTGTTTCAAATGAGAAAATTCAAAAGTTCAGATATTAGTTCATATAATTATAATATTATCTCTGCTATTTTCTTTGTAAATGAAATTTTTTTCTTTCAAGATTTAAATTTTCAAGTATAATAAGCTGCTAATCTTAAAAATAATTTTTTCCTTTTTTTACAGAAAAGTTAAAAGAAGCTAAAATTCGTATGAGATGTTTGGATCTTTATCCATACAATACTGTAAGTTTTATTTATTTATATATTTGTTTGGGAAAATAAATTTTCATCAATTAATAAATGACAAATTTGCTAAAATAGTGCTGTTAGCACTTAAAATGTTTTTAAAATTTATACGTTTTATTTCAATTCATTTTCTATTTCTCGAATAATTGGAATACTTTAAAAGTATGCTTGTTTTTCTAGGAAAAAGCATTGGAACAAGCTTTCAGTTCATTTCCCGATCTTACTGGTATGACAATGCGACCACATGGCCAAGAATTTTTTTGGTCTGGATTAGATATGTATTCATTTCCAAAATTTACCAAAATGGATACACTTATGTTAGATGGATTTAATATAAGTATGTTTGTTGTATCATTAATTGTGAATTAATATATTAAATGAATAAGTACATACTTATTTTTATTCTCAAAATTTAAATTACTAATTAAAATGTGCTAAAACAATATCGATTAGGTGGTATTTTTTCCAAAAAACAAAGAAAGGGAGAGAGAAAGAAGTAGGAGTTGAGCAAGAAGTGTAGTCCAATTAATAAATTCTTATTTTTGTTAAATTACTCTAATCGAATTTTTAATTCATAATAAGTTATTTATAATTTTTTAAATATATTACATGTTATATATATATATATATTAGGTGTAATTTATTTGCAAAACTAAATTTCACATTTAAGAATTTATTTCACTGCTTATTAACATGGCCTTTAAACTATTTTTTTTTTATTTATTATAGAACCGGAAGTTTTTCTACCAGAAAGTTTGACAACATTGGAATGGTTGAATAGGAGTGGAAAATTTCTTCGTATAATGCCAAAACTAAAATATTTAGTAAATTTGGAATATTTAATGTTAGGACATGCGGAATTTTTGGATACAAATGAATTTGATTCATTTCTTCAAGTAATCAGTTCGGAAAATTTACCCAAATTGCAATATCTTGTAAGTTCTTTGTGTTTTAATTAGTTAAAATTAATTAGTATTTTTCCTCTTACGCATCGTAATTAATGTTATAAATTATTACTGCTATTTGTTTCTTCCATCTTCTTTGTGTGCGTTTGATTTTTTGATTTTTTTTTTTGTTTATGCGAAATAATAAAATTTATTTATTAAATCACTGATAACGCATTCAGTATAATAAAATATTGAAATATTTCATATGCAATTAACATTTCAAATATTGCAAGACTTTGTAATTGAAAAATTAAATTGAATATCAATTTCCCCATGGAATTTCAATTTATTGTGTGATGAAAATAGGAAAAAAATCTTTTTTTTTTTTGTCTTGAAGCTTGATTAGTTTTACTGCAAGCAACTAGTGGAAAATTTTTTTAAACTTGTTAATTTATCTTATTTTCTGAATAAATTTTCAAAGTTTTTTTTTTCCGTTAGAAAATAAAGTTTTGTTTTAAATAAAGGCAATTAATTGTTAAATTAAGTATTACTTGTAGATATTTCGATATTGCAAAATTGATTCACATCGACAAACTGTTGTGATTAGATCATCAGATGATAGCAATGATGATAATGATGATAATGATAATGGTAATGAACATCAGTTACAAAATGATCTAACTGAACGTGCATGTGAACTTGACATCAAACTTAATTCACTTCAAATGATTAAATTAGATTTATGCTATACCGATTTTGGTTTTGTCATCCGACGAATTATTTCATTCACGGGGTTATTTTCTCTTTTTCTAAAAAATTTGTTTTGCTATTTGTTCATAAAGCTCATATATTTGTAATTAATTATTTCAAAATATTTGTTTTTGTTTAAAATTTTCGATGATTTTTTGATATTTTATTTTTTGTCATACAACTTGCATTATTTGAAATCCATTAGAAATATTTTATTTATTATAAGTTTTATTTCTCTTTTGTTTATGCCACTGATATTTCAAACATATTTCATTTAAGTCATTAATTTTAATTTAAATGTAAATTATTTAATCATCAAAAAAGAAATGGAATTTAGCTATTAAAAAAATTCATATAATTATAATGAATTACTTCAAAGGATTCACATGTGTTTAAAGTTTTCACTAATTTTCAAATTAATTGTTTTTTTTTTCAGTCATATCTTTTCTATATTCCAAATTCAAATTTAAAAATTTTTTTTTTACAAAAATAAAACATTTATAAAAAATAAATCATTCATAATTTTTGATGTTTAGTTCAGCGATGCGGGTAGTATCATTAAATGTAATCAGTGAAGAAACTAATTACGAACGAATCTATGATTTATCATCCTTAATAGCTGGAAGAAAATTAACGCTGCATTTTGGAATACTACAAAAGGATACAAGAACGGAGTAAGCGTTTAAGTTTAAATATTTAAATTTTTAGCCATTTAGATTGTTTGAACTAAATTAAATTTCAAGCTGATCAGTAATGATTTAAATTGATTATCATTGTCAATAGTAAATCACCTTTAATCATAATCGCTGAACATTAAAAATGATCACTGCTAGCTATTTTTTTTCGAAAAAAGCTTTCTTAAAAAAAATTCAACAATTTAGACAATTTCATTATTATTTATTAAATACTATCAATGTTTAATGATAAATTTTAGAAAAGCAATAAATTTTCTTTTTTTTTTTTGGAAAAAAGGGGAAAAAGAAATAAGAAGAGGGGAAAATATATGATTGAATAATATAAATGATAAACAGAAAAGCAATGTGGATTATGATATAAAAAATTAGAAATAAAATAAAATCTCAAATTAATCATTTCATAAAATAATTATAACCAGTTTAATAATGGATGTGATAGAATTACTTGATAAAATGGTTTTTTTTTTTTTTGTTGATATGTTATACTGACAGTTATAAAATTGTGGTAAACTAGAAAAGGAATATTTCTTAAGTGATCGCACAATGATTATAACCGATAAGATTAATGTGATATAATGATAGCTTTAATGTAGCGGTGGTAATAGTTTGAAGAATAAAGAAATGATGATAATTTTAGGACAATTATTATTCAAAAGTTTTAATGAAATAATATGTGAAAGAAAGAAATGATGATAATTTAGGAAAGCGCAAAAGTACTAAGAGAATAACATATAAAACAAATGATTAATTTCATGAATGGAAAAATTTTTAACTCTTTTTCATCCTTCAATTTTCTTCAGTTCCTTCATTTGTCAAATTTAAATATTGAATAAATAATGAGGGAATTTTTTCACCTCATTTCATTTCAAATTTATTTTCAATAACAAAGTTTTACCATTCATTTCATAGCATATTTTGTTTTTTTTAGACGAAGAGAAGAAATGTTGTTAAATTCGATGAAATTACCGCCTGCATCATTTGGTATGGTATTAGGACGATTTGAAGCATCGTTTCTTACCGATGAAATACTTTTGCGCAATTTACTATTGACACACCCACTGCCACGTTTAACAGATGTTAAATTTATTCAAGTATCAGCTATTACACCAGCAATTCTTTTACATCTTTCATTGGTAATTATTCTTTATTTTCATGTAAAAAAATAAGTTATTTTTAAAGCAATTCTAATATTTAGCCTTTTTTTTTTTTCTAATTTAAAGAAGTATTTTTTAGAATAATTTTATAATTGTACAGCAGATTTTTTTTAATTAGTTTTATTAATTAATTTTTTTAAAATTAATCTTTTGGAATAATTTTATAATTGTATAGTAAAGATGGAAGGAAGGAGAGAGAGAGAGAGAGAGAGAAAAGGTTTTGAAAAAAAAAGTTTAATAAAATATACAACGTTTTAATTTATGATTAATAACAATGCTAGAATAGATTATGAAAGATTTAATTATTTTTGTCGTCATCGGATTCTCATGTTTTATTAAAAAAATCAAGCAATTTTAATCGGAAAATAGAAGGATATTATTAATAAAGGAAAAAAAGAAAATATTTAGAAAAAAGGAAATTTAAAATAAAATTGGATATACTTAAACTTGTAATTATCGAATTTTTCTGACTGCTCAAAATATCTTGCTAAACTGAATTAATATTATAAGCATCAAATTATTTCTTCGAATTGCAACGAAATAAATTGATAATATCATTTATCACTATTTATTACTATTATTATTTCCCATTATTTATTGCTATTACTTATTATTATTATCAAATTATTAATTGTTATTTAATTATGAAATATTAACATTATCAATGAGAATCTTATTATGTTTAGTATGCAATAATTTATTGATTTAATTAAAATGGAATTTTCTCATATTTATTTGCAATCATTTTGAGCTTTTAATTAATTAAAGTTGTCCAAACTATTCTATTATTTTCGAAATAAAATTATAATAATGTATTTGAAAAGAAAAGTGTAATGATAAGCAATTTTGTTAACTTAATAACTGTCGCTTTTTTCAGATGGCTCCACGTTTACGAAAATTATCATTGATAAATTGTGAGGAGGATAAATTGGATATTGGCATTTTAAATTTTATTACCAATTTTCCAAGTAGAATGTCAAAATCACTTCAGGTTAAAATATTCATTTAAAAAAGAAAAGCGACAAATAATAAAAACATATTTCGCTTTTTTATTTTTCTTTTCCCATTATTATTTTTTGTTGCAGATAATTTGGAAACGAAAATGTAATCGATCACAATCATTTTACAACATATTAATTAATGAGTATTGGGATATAATTAAAGACTATAAAATTCGTGTTATTCCGAAAAAATTTGCTGCCAATAAAACGGGTGAAAAGATTATAATATGGGAAATGGAAATGAAGAAAACATTGTATTTACAGGTTAATTAATTTTTTTTTTCCTTTTGTTCCTTTTTTTATTTTGATTTTTTTTTTTCATTTCCATATATATAAAGAAAAAAAATATTTGATTATTTTGATATTTCTACAAAATGCTTAATGGTAATAATTAATCAACAAAAATTTTACACTTTGTTATTGTTTTCTCATTTGTATTTTTTCCTACAGTTAATTTGAAAACAACGATATAATCGGTCATTTTACAATGTTAAGTAATGGAAATTATAATTTAATTAGACATTTTGACTATACGATCATTTGTTTCGTTTTTTTTTTTTTTTATGTTACTTTTTTTATAATGAGAAATTAGTAATTAATAAATATTGAAATTTGATAAAAGAGTATCAGAATTTAATTGTAAAGAGAGCTAGGGAATAGAATATCCAATATATTTGTTTGGAATTTTCAAAATGATTTTAAACTTTAATTTTAAGTTCTACAAGAAACAAGAAATATTAAATACTAATACACATTAAAAAAAGAAAAAATTCTTTCACCACCATGTCTTATCAATTGCTGATAAATATTCCGGTGAACAAACAAAAAATAACTGATAAAATTATCTCTGAATTAATTAGCAACATGTGTTTTTAAAATTGAATTATTTTAGAAAAAATATAAAAAATATAAATTGAAGAAAGAAAAAATATAAATGGAATTATTTAGAAATTTCTTCGAAATACTAAGCATGATCGTGTAAATTAGAAAATTTTTTCTTTTTTAACTATAATTTTTACTATTGGAAAGTCCAACTAAGTCTCCTATAATTGTTGAGAAAATATAAAAAAAAAATTAGATTGGATTTTTTTTTTTTTTAATAAAATGGATCACAGGATAGCATTTTTCAGGATTTTGATGTTAATGATCAAGGTCGAATATTGGGTATTGTAATGCCACCTGATTGTAATTGTAATAATGATTCATATGATTCGGAATTTTTTGAAAGCACTGAAAGTACTTCCAATGCCTGTTTATAAATAATTTTTCATTTAATTATTTTATTGTGTTTTGCTAAATACATTGCTTTTATCAAAATTTCCTTTTGTTTATCGATAAATTTGCTCTCAGTGCTAGAAAGTGAAGTAATATTTCCTGAAATTGAATACTCATTGATTCGAATAAGACTAATCAATATTTCATCTTCCTTTTTTCTTCCTTTTCATTCTTTGGTTATTCTATGCTTTTTGTCACTCAGCTTTACTGCTTCACACTTTTATCATTTCAAAAATATATATTACTGTATGAGCATTCTATGCTGAGTTAAGGAAAGCTTATCAGTTACTTTTTGTTAACATATTTAGTACCATCAGTTTGCTTATGTCAAAAAACTTATTTATATTGATTATTACAAAGATAATTTAACCTTACGGTTATACATATACAAATAAATATGTGTGTTAAGCATGTTATCAGCCAACGTAATCAATAGATAATGATATGTTGCAACTTATATTATCAATGCTACAGTGTGATATGTAAATGATTAAATTAGCTGTCGAAATTATTGGCATAGTTTTTACTGATTTTTGTGATAGAAATCAATTTCTTATGATTTAATTCTTTTTTCTTTTTTGCTTTTTAATAACAAGTATCTGTCAAAAAAAAAAAAAGAAAAAAGAAAATAGAGCTTTTGCTTGTGTGCCATTTTGTGCTATTAGACGTGATGAATGATACATTTACAAATGATAATAAAAATTAATTATTACTTTAACTTCTGAATTACTCTTGAAGTCTCAACTTTTTGCTGATTTTTTTATCATATAAGTATGAAATTTGCCAATTTCGTTAAACAAATTACATATTTCTTAATTTATGATAAATTACCAATAGTGGTATATAATAGATTACTGTTATGTAAGTATCAAATTTCTTTTTTTCTTTCATTAATTAAGGGAAATTGGACTGCTCTTTGATCCGTTTTTGAGAAGTTATTTCAAGTTTTATTCCGGTGCCTAGTTTTTATCAGTATCCGCTGTGATAAGTAGTTTGTATCGGTTTGTATTCCGTTGTGTTATATGTGGTTTTATCAGGTATATATGAAATGATGCGCTAAATTACACGTTCATTTTTAAATTTAAAAGATAAAGAGACTTGAATTCGAACAGGTTTGAAATAAAAGTTTCGTAAGATTACAGAGAAATTAAGATAAATTGTTTTGTAGTTTTGATCTCTTTGAACCAAATTTAATGTAGCAATTTCTAATGTGTTTAGCAATACATTTCTTTGCATTTAAATTATTTAAATTGAAATTACTAAAATTAATTAAGTTTAAAGAGAAAAGATAATATTCATTTTTAGGACAGTAGAATTTGCTTGTAAATATTCTAATTCGACATTTCAAACAAAGTTTATAACGCAACAATTATTTTAAAGCTTTCTCTTTTTGTTTACTATTCGTTTTAATTCGGTCAATAAATTCTTTTTTCTTTTTTTTCAAGAAAATGGAAAACAACATTTTAGTTTACATAAATAACGGCGAATTTTTCATTGATGATTTCATTTAAATGATAAATTGTAAAATTTTCCAATCAATGCTTTCTTCCCTTACTTTATTTTATTTATTTTTGTGCAAAATTCTGATTTAATTTCAAATTTTTTCCATGCAGTTTCCTTCCTTTGAAATTTCCTTTTATTGTGTGATTTCATTCCTTTTACAATTTTCTTTCACTTTAAATTGGTTAATTCTATATCAAATGATGTTAATTGGTATAGCTACAATTCAATCAATGAAAATATTTGAAATCTTAAACCCGTAATAAAACATAATAATGATATTAAATAAAGTGAAGTTTTGAGTCATTTTTTTGAACCTATTTATAAACTTATCATATAGAAATTTTTGCAATATAATTAACTGAAATTAAGCTTGTAATCTGTCAGAGTAATTCATATAAATATAATTCTCGAAAAGTACTGAAATCATTTTTCATTGTGGTATTTTACTATTTTTTGTATTTAATTCAATTATTTTTTCTTTTCTTTGCCTATTTTATCAGAAATTTCTTTTCTTTTTTTTTTTTTTACTTTTTCTTTTCATTTTTAAAGAATTTTTGTTGAAATCAAATATTTCAACACAGTAATATTAGTCTTTATGAAAATAATCATTGATAACAACAATTTTTACTATTATTAATTATCATTCGTTTTACTTTCATTTATAATAATAGAAATGTAGAATAGAAGGACATGATTAAAACAGTAGCAAATTTTTTTTTTTTTTTTGCAAAATTTGAGATTATGTTTCATTTTCTTTTTTACTTCTTAATTATCATTTGAATTTTTCTTTTTTTTTTTCGATTTCCTTAAATGTTAAATTATGTGTTTCAAATTATGTGTGAAAATTTTTTATATCACATTTATTTTTCTCCATCTATGTATGAAATAATTGATATGATTTTGATAAATTCAATTTGATAAGTTGGATTTTATGACTATTCACTATTATGAATTTCAGTAAGATAATGATTTACTTCATTTTAATTAGTTAAGTTCGGTTTTGAATTCCTTAATTCATTGTTACGATATGTTGGTCAATTTTATTGTATTAGTTATAATGTGATATGTCACTGTGTATAATTATATTAATTACTATTAGTTAAGGCATTGTTGTCTTTTCGTGAAGGCATTGTTTGTCTTTTCACTCATAGCCACGGGTAAGTATGTATGTACAAATAATCATAATAATAAAGAGAAGTAATGCAATTTATGAGAATCGCAAAACCATCCATAATTATTTACAAATACATTGTTCATTGGAAGATTATGAACTTGTTTAGATCAATTAATTTGAAATAGATATACAAATCTGATCAATTAATCTGAAATAGATATACAAATCTGATCAATTAATCTGAAATAGATATACAAATCTGATCAGTTAATTTGAAAAACTGCATATGAACAACTAATTTAAAATGCCAATTAACCAATTTGATAAATAAACATTATCGACCATTTGTAAGCAATCAATAAACTGATCATATTTTTTTTTACTTTTAAACGAATAAATTTTTCGTGATAGTGTATCATTCTATCGATTAGGTCGAAAATGTTGCAGTAAATGCAAGTTCAGTGGTTGTTTCATCAAATTGAATTTCCAGAATTTCTCACATTCAAATTTCCTGACAATATATATATATATATATATAAATTTGCTTAAATGCTTAAAATAGAAAGAATGTTAAAAACGTTATCAATTACCGCTCGAAAATTATATTCTATCTTCAGCAAGTTGCAATGTAGCAAAGGTAACAAAATCTTATATCTAAGCATTAAAAAAAAAAATTTAACCAGTTTTACAGTCTCGTAGTCCATTTAACTTTAGTTAAGCACAATTAAGCTTAATTATTTTGAATTAATCTCAACCTGAATATTTTATAATACTTCAAATACATTACTGGAGTAAATTCAAAGTTGAAATTTGTTTGAAAGTTTTAATTTCAATATACTTTAAATTTGCTGGGTCCTAAATTTTTCATAGTGACTACTCTTATTTGAACCATACTAGTTGTGAATTACAGGTCAGTTGATTTATGTCTTTGTTTTGTTTTTCGAGCTATTTGATTCTTAAATTGTGATATTTTCAAGAAATGGAGTGGTACACGTATCTACGTGACGTAGCGTTGGATGTTAAAAGACGGAATTTTTTTTATTGGATGCGGTTGACGAGTTATTTCAGGTGGAAAGTGTATAATTCCATGGGAAAATAAACAGTCATGTTGTCTTATGTATTTCTTATCTCTTCGTAAGTCTCACTTTTTGCTGTAAGTGTTCAATTGTAAACATTAATTTGATTTAAAACATGAAAGCGTAGATATTCATATATGATGCTAGCACAGAATAATTTGTATGAAAGAGAAAGACTAGAAAAAAATGTGCAATTTATAAAATGATATAAATCATTTGGCATGATTAAACTGTCAGTGAAAACAATTCTTATATAATGAGTAATCGTTCATCTTGTTATAGGCTAAATAATATAAGAAATGCTTTAATTTATAAAGATTGAAAGGAGCGGAACATTTTGATTAAATTTCCCGATTGAATTTTTTTTGCATATTTCACTTAATTCTTTTTTATACTCTCGCATTATACCGTATTTTTCTGTATGGTAACATTCACTTGCGCAACATTACCACACTTCATTTGTTCTTTTATATTCACGCTTTTTTTTTCGAGAACTTTGCAAATATGAAATATATTGAAAATTACCGAAATTTTCAGGGAGATAATTAACGATTTGGCACCATTTGTTTTATTTTCTACCATATATTTTGCTGTTTAAGATTGCCACACAGGAAGTGGTACCTCCGTTTTATTGTCTCATCCAAGATCATCTGCCAGAAATTCGAGCGGTTGCAGAGGATCAAAGGATTAGTTGCTTTAGGTATAAATTAAATTAGGCACAAAGGGAGAAAATTTAAAAAAGTAAAATTCTTATTTAAGTTTAATTTAGTTCAACTAATCTGAATATCTAAAAACTGATGTATACAAACGGTATTTTAAAGTTTAGGATAGAAAGTTGAAACTTTTAAATATTTAAACTTAAAACTTAATATGCCTTTATGACTAAAATACAGTTCCTGTATATATTGTTGACTTCAGCAATGTAGAGTTTTGTTAAATCACCCAAATATTGGTTAATATATGGACAGAAATGTTTCTTCTACGTTTATGCAAAATAAATCATTACGAGACGCGCTCCTAAATGGAGTGAGAATGACCATATCGTCAAATCTGTATATTTCGACTGGTTTAGTACCAATTTTCCAGTCCTTTACTTTATAGTAATTTTAATTAGTATAAATATAATCTATTGATATAACCTATATTTGATTATTATGAATATATTTTCTCCATATGAATCTTTGTTCTTGTCTTTAGTTATCATTCACTATTGATTCTTTATCAGGATTATGGAATCACTGTATTCATTCAGCGGACTACTTGATGACTGCAGTATATAGATGGGAAGGCT